AATGCTAAACATCTTAATAGAAATTATCATTCAATTTTTTCATCGCCTTTTTTGTTTTTTCTTTCTTTTTCGGCTTGATAGGTGTCGGCCTATATTATATGGGCCTCATATTGCGTCCATTGACGATCGAAAAAAGTGTGTGTTTGCGTGTCTGTCTTTTGAGGGCGAGGGGGGCTTAATAACTTCTTATTAGTCATAATTTTTTTTTTTTTTTTTCAATTTTTTTTTTCTTTTTTTTTTTTGGTTTCCTAGGTTTCGGGCTATATTATATCGGCTTAGTTGTCTCATATGACGAGCAAATGATGTTTTTCAAGTGTTTCGAGGACGACGGGGACTTTTCATGAGTCTTAATTCTTGTTGATTATTTTTTTGGCTTAATAGGTTTCTGCCAAGGTATTTGTTACCGCTTGGTAAATTGTTTTCCAATGATAATTTCGCAATTTTTTTTGTCTCGGCATGTTTTTGTTTCAAGACTAGCCTTTTTCATTATAATACATCTAGTTTTTTGACATTTTCGATTTTTTGTGTTGTATCGCAAGTGGCGTGAAGCTCAGCTTCGCCTCCGTGTAAAGATCTTTTACTCAAATTGGTTTTAGAAAAAGTCTTAATTGTGGTGAAATATTCGTTTGACATCTGTTTTTTTTTCATTATTATCATCGAGCAGTTTGTTTGATTTGTATTGTGTTCTTAAATTAACGAGGTGCAGACAGGCTTCTGCTTTTGAAAGTATCTACACGAAATGTCAAGTTCTAAAACACAAAACGGTTTTCTATAGCAAAAAAATTGTATTTGTTCGAAGTAGATTCTACCAATTGGTAAAGAATTAACTCCGCATAGTTAATAGACTGTGTAAATATGTTGCTTGTAAGTTCTTACGATGAGAAATAATTTTTTCTTCTTCTTGCTAATTAGATTTACTTCTGGTAGATTCGTTGATTGACGTTTTTTTTCTCCAATTTACGGCAATGCTGAGGTTTGTTAACCAGGTTTTGCTTTAAATGTCGGATTTTTTGTTCTGGTAGTTACTTCCCACAGGGATATCCTACTTGGACTGTGATATGGTGACGTGCTGCGGCAAGTATCGTGTCACGAAAGTTCCGCTCTGAGGCGTTTACATCTTGCTGCGATGGTTACTTTGCTAAAACGTGTCAGTTTTTTTTGTTAAATTATCCCCATCATTCCTACATTCATCAACGGAGCGAACCGACAGTCATTAAAATTTTGACAGCTGGTCTTAAAATCGACACTGGACGGTACGAGTTTAAAGAAAAGATTTGAGATCTTAGTTTCGTTTTGGGAGGGTATCGCTTAAGAGCAAAAGTAAAATTAATTGTTTAAATTGCTCTTGAAATTGGTCCGAAATGTTCGAGGTGGACTGTGCATAGACCATCCGGTCGTAATGCTTTTTAAGGCTTTGCCACTTGGATGTTATTCTCAGTTTCCAGAAAGATAAAACTTGGTCAATCTTCGAGGCTACGTTAATGGGTTTTTCCTATTCAACTTATCACTTTTGTGAATTTTCATTATAGTATAGTATACGTTTAAAGCATTTGCAATGTCTACCGACCGATAAAGTTTTTTTACTATTTATCCATAGTTTAATTGGCGCTTAACGTGACACATGTTTAAGAAGTCGCCATGTTGATCTGCTTAAGGTTTTTTAACGCATTATTTTTTCATGTTTAACGAAAGAATTTTTTACATTGAAACTATCGTGTATTGAAATGCTTGAGAAATTTTGTTTGGCATATATTGAAGACGTCCATGTGTTGGTCTGTTAAAAGGTCAAAACAATGCAAGGGTTGAAATGTTTACTCAAGTCGGCGTTTCAAAATCTGTTGGAGCGCGTCTACTCCAACTCGGATTTTTTCCAATTTTCAAAAACTTCCCAAGCTTTGTTTTCACAATATATTCAACTAAAGTTGAAACTCTCAACCCTTAGTGTGGTTCTGTTAGGGTACACTCAGAGGTTGCAAATCTAGCGTCTAAGTATGACTGCTCAATTTTTTTGTTTTTCGAGATATAGCGTTTTATCAGATTTTTTCAATTTGTTTTTCAAAAAACAGAAAAAATAATCGATTTTGAAATTCTCAATCCTATACTAGGGTGCTGTCAGATTACACTCAGATGTTGCCAATGTGGCGTCCAGATATAACTGCTCAATTTCTTTTTGGTTTTCGGGATTTTTTATTTTTTCGTTTTTTTTTCGAAAAAATTAGATAAAGAAAAATTAACCGGACTTAAAATTCTCCCGATTTTGGGGTGATGTCAGTGTACACAAAATCTGGCGTTCAAGTATGACTGCTCAAATTTTTTTGGTTTTCGAGATATGACTTTTTTATGATTTTTTCTTTAAAAAATTAGAAATAAAAAAACTAACCGAACATGAATTTCTCAACCCTCTAGTGGGTTGCAGTCAGAGTAAACTCAGAGGTTGCAAATCTTGCGTTCAAAATTGACTGCTCAAATCTTTTTGGATTGCAAGATATGGCGTTTTTTGTGTATTCGTCAACTTTTTCAAAAACTTTAGATACAAAATAACTAACCGAACTTGAAATTCTCAACCCTATAATGGAGTGCTGCCAGGGTACACTCATAGGTAGCAAATTTGGCGTCCAAGTTTAGCTGCTCAAATGTTTTTGGCCATCAAGATATGGCTGAATGTATGAGTTTTTCAATTTTTTTTCAATTGTTTGATATAAAAATTAACTGTCAGAACGTAAAATTTTCAATCCTATGGCGGTCACTTGTCATATACACTTCTGCGTTGCAAATCTCGCCTTTAATTATGAATGCCTAATACTAACGAGATAAGGCAATTTTAACGCTTTTTCATTTTTCTTTTTAAAAAACCTGAATTAAAAAAGTAAAACTAACTGATCTTGAAAATCTAAACCCTATTGGTGGGATACTGTCAGGGTCTATTCGTAGGGGGGACTGTCTGAGTAAAAGCCTGGCCTCTAACTTTGAGTGCTGAAATCTTTTTTCCTTTCGAGATGTGGCGTTCATGATATTTCAATACTTTTTCAAAAAAGTTTATTTAAAAACAATCAACATAGATTGAAATTCGCAACCCTATGAAAGGATGCTGTAAAGTACAATAAAAGGTAGCAAAGCTGGCCTCTATTTTTATCTGCTCAAATCATTTTGGTTTTCGAGATATGGTGGTTTTTATGAAATAGAAACCCCTGATAGACGAGCCCAGTTTATCTTCACGGTTGCATTAAATGTCGCTGTTTCTTGACGCACCGTAAGTACGAGTCCTGTGCTAGTTGAAACTAATTGTGTGGGTTCCTACTTCGGACTTGCTGCCATTTAATTACTGGACCGTTTTCCAGAACTTACTGGACAACGTATGGTGATTAGAAGTCTGTAGGAATTCTCGCCATTTCTTTTTTTTGTCTTAAGAAGTTTTGGCCATAATCTCTTCATTTGAACGCTTGAAAAAGTTCGGAATTGTTAAAAATTCCGGTTTGATTTCTTTGTTGAGCAAGTTTTGTTCTTCGTTGGTGGCTGGAATAATGAAGCGATGCCGGCCAGCCAAATTATTGTTACGTGCTGCAGCAAGTATTGTGACGCGAAAGGTTCGTTCTGCGGCGTTTACATCGTGCTGCAGTGGTTTCTTAGCTAAAAGCACATGTTCATTTGTGAAACGGTTCCAACCAGGGTTACCACTTGGTCAGATTTTTCTGACCTATCAGAAATGGTCAGATTTGGTCAGTTATTTGGTCGGAGGTCAGAAAAAGTCAGAATATATGTTTATTTGCCATGATACTTGTTTTTTTCTTGTTACTAGTGGTTCACTTTCTGGCAACTCGGCATAAAATCACATTTTTGTTTTTCAGAGAGATGGGTGTCGTGTTCAGACATGAGCAGGAATCCAATAATGTCATTTCCACGATGTTTAAATAAACATTTCCTTGAAATTCAACGTTAAACGTTCACAAAAGTTTTTTCATAGTTGTAGTTCAGATATGAAAAAGGTCAGCAAAATGGTCAGTTTTTTGATGATATCTGTGGTCAGATTTTTGATCTGAACGAAGTGGTAACCCTGGTTCCAACCTGCTTTTTTAAAATTAATGGAAAGACGGCACTTTTGGGCCCATCATTCCTGCTTCTATCAACGGAACGAACCGACAGGTGGAGAACAGATAATTTTTGAGCATTTTTGCATTTCAAGGGGCCGTTCTAATGGTTCTATTTACCAGCTCCTATTTCAGTATATTAGTTTTATTGTTTTTGCCTATTTTTTCTCTTTTTTCGGCCTAAAAAGTTTCGGCTTATAGTATAACGGCTGAGAGGCTTCTTTTTTTGATGATTACTTAATATTCAATTGTCTTAATTTTTGGCATATTTTCTACCGCTTTTATCTTTCTTTTTGTCGCAAGTAGTGGGTTTTATCCTAAGTAATGCGATGCTTCACTTCGCCTCTGTTTGTAAAATTTATGACGGCGCAGGTAATTCTGTCCCAAGATTTCGATTTTTTTTGTCGGATTTTTAATTTGCTATTTTTCAGATTTGCCGGTTCATGTGCAAGTAATGAGAGTAATTCATTTTATTGATCGCCTATGTGTTAAATTTTGTTTCTTGATTTTCCGTTCTTAAATCAGGTGTAAATTTTTCAGAAATCAGACAAGTGTGCCGTTTTTTTGTACTTGTGCGTTCTTTCAGATTGATTTTGAACACTTTTGTCAACATTTCTGGTATTTTTCCAAATTTTGCCAGCTGAATTTCATGTCTCACATATTTTTTGTTATAAACAGACTGTCGACAATATTTAGTTTAAAAACACAATATCAGAGTCTTCCGTGCTTATTGCTCAGCATTTTCCTTTTCTGCACTCCTTTGAAACGTTTTTTTTCTTAGTTTTAATGCAATATTTTGTTATCTGAGTTGAATTATTTCGCAGAAACTGCAATTAATGGTTTAATAACCTATCACCTTTACGACACTACCTTTTAAAGCCAGTTTTGAACAGATTATGTGACTCTTTGAGATTTGAAATGATGTCTCTGAAGTTCACTGGGACCTTTGGCGCTAGATGCTGTTCTAGAACTTCTCAATTTTCTATGAGACATAAAGCGACATCTGCAGCGGCTAAATTCGACCCGGATTCTTATAGGTCAAAGAAACTTGGGAGCCAAACAACTTTCAACATAGAACAGATGTATTCTCACTTGGAACAAGATCACCTGGAAATGAAACGCCAAATGGTGAAATATCTGTCAGAAAGTGATCTTTTCACGCCAAAATATAACATTCCGCTTTCGGAGGAACGCGAACTAGCCTTACAGAGATTGAAAGCCATTTGTGACAATAAGTTCATTTCGGTTTTTAATTTCAACAATGACCCTTTGAAAATTTTCGCGGCCCACGAGATTGCAGCGGTTGTGGATAGCTCCATGACCACAAAAATGACAGTCCAGTTCAATTTATTCGGAGGAACTGTGTTGAAAATTGGCACCAACAGACATCAGAAACTATTGGAAGGTTTGTGTAACGTTTGCAACATGGCGCTCATTCGGATTCTGAACTATTGGCCAATATCGACCATAATCATTCTATTTATCAAAAATTGAGGCGTAGGGTTTCGGATAGAAAGAAATGATGTGATTTGGCTCGAAATATAATCACTTTTTGGTTTGCACGTCCCGTAATGCATCGAATTAAAATTGCGATATCAATAAGAATGATTTATCGAACATTGCAGGCATTGACACCCTGGACGACGTCGGCTGCTTCGGTCTCACGGAGCTGGGTTACGGCAACAATGCAGTAGAGATGGGCACTACGATCGAGTATGAACCAGAGACTGAATGCTTCATCATAAACACCCCGGACACTCTGGCTCAGAAGTACTGGATCACGAATGGGGCTCTGCACGCTAAACACTGTGTAGTGTTTGGGAAGTTGATTTTGGGTGGGGTAAATTATGGCATCCATGGAGTGGTTGTCAGAATTAGAGACTGCAACTTGGACGTCTGTCCAGGTGTGTGCAGAAACGAAATAATTTTTCAGCTGTCAATAATTTTGAATGAGAAAAAAACCCAAATGCTAATATTATAAAATTCCTTTTTTTAATGAAATGAAGATTTATCAGAAACTGCTCAATTCATTGATTGCGTTGACTGTTATTTCAAATACGGTCGAAGTTAATGTTTTTCTTTTCCTTCCAATTGAGCAATTTTTCTATCCGGAGATGATTAAGGTTGCGGAATTGAAGTTGCCGAAACGCCTGGAAGCCACGCTAGATTCATATTTGCCTTAGTTTCGATAGATTTAATAACCAAGCAAGAATATTAACTACGCAAGAAAAGATTTAGTAGCATGGATTGAAACAGAACAACTTACCGCTTCATCGTCGCTCCTAAGGTATTTAATGACAAATTTTCCCGCGAGGAGTTATGAAAGCAAATAGCCTTGTCATTCAAAAGCCTCATTTTATTTGAAAAGAACTTAAAATTTTTAAAACTGACTGATGTTTAGGGGTGGCGATCCACGAAATGGGCCACAAGATGGGTTTGAATGGAGTGGACAATGCCAAGATCACATTCAGCTCAGTCAGGACTCCAATTTCTGCCCTGCTGAACAGGTTGTTATACTCCATTTCGCGCCACTACGATGTTTTCTCGTACATGTTGACTCTGAGTTTTTAGTTTTTGGAAGTTGAAGTCATTTAAATTCCGTGAAAGCCTTCACCATTGTAATCAAATAATCAAATCTCATCTTAATAATTTAATCTGTGTGCAGATAAAGAAAGATAATCCTTTTCCAATCCTACTTTTTCCTACTTAGTCTCGCTATTTTCAATCCTCACCCTGCGTTTGTGTTTGCAGGTACTCTGACGTGTCTCCCTCTGGTGAGTTCAGCTCCAGCATCAAGGGCGAAAGAGCGAGATTCCTCACTGTGGCAGACCAGCTACTCTCCGGCAGGATATGCATCGCCAGCATGTGTCAGGTACAGCTGGGAAAATATTAATTTATTTTCATAATACAACTGAATTGTGTTCAATCCAATTATGCATACCGGCTTGCAGGCAATGATTTAGGACTATTTTGCTAAGGGATGAACGTTAACTGTAAAAATTTTTAGGTTGATAGGAAATGGAGTTTGTGTAATCGTTCCAATTAGTCGTATTTTACGGTCAGTCAGTTTTTTCCAATCTAACTTGCAGAAAGTTTTAAACTTCAAACCTGTTTTGTATGCTTAGTGTTTATCCGTAGCATCGCTTTTTTTCGCAGGGCGCAGCAAAGGCGTCCCTATCAATAGCAGTGCGCTATGCGGCCACTCGTCTAGCAGTGGGACCTACAGGACTCTCAGACACCCCAATTCTGGCCTACCAGTTGCAGCAGAACGCAATCCTCCCCCTCCTCGCCAGGACGATGGCCATCAATGCTGCCCTGGATAGAGTCAAGGTCAACTGGGCCAATCAGAACCCAGACGGCAGTGAGCACGCTTCGATTGTGGTGCAGTGTTGTGCCATAAAGCCAATTGCTGGCTGGAATCTGAAGGTCCGTTTAAAAGGGTTTATTTTGATTTCCTATTTAGTGAATGGACTACGAGTAGAAGCTTGAAAGATTTTGATATATCAGTTGCGAATGGTTTAGTGAGCTGGCTCGCAAATAGTTTGGAAGGAGCACATTCTAAAATAGCTTTTTATTGTTTTTCTTCGATGCTATAAATCATGTGAGACTTGTATCTAAAAGCAAACAGTTAGCCAAAGAATCTATGAGTGTTCCTACTTCTTATTTATTGGTTTATTCTCCTTGTTCATCTGGATATTATCTTGAAGTATCTGGAGTAAAAAAATAATAGCAATGCTCATTTCAGGATGTGGTGACTGTTTGTCGTGAACGTTGTGGCGGACAGGGATACCTATCGTGCAATAAGTTCGGACATTACCTGGGTCTCGCGCACGCCGCCTGCACTGCGGAAGGGGACAACAGCGTCCTCATGCAGAAAGTGGCCAAGGAATACCTCTCCATGTACAACTTCTCTGCCAAACCACAGAAACCCAAAAACTCTGATATAGATTCTGTAGACTCTTTGATGTATGTTCTAGCCGTAAGAGAGTACACAGCTTTGGCTCAATTGGGATCCGCAATGAAGGGTGCGAAAGGTGACAGAAAAGAAATGTTTGATTCCTGGATGTACAATGCCAGTGATATGGTCCAGCATGCAGCAATGTCTTATGCTGAGAACCTTATGGCAGAATCATTCAGATCTTTAGTCGACACAGCCCCTGAAGATTCAAAACCAACTTTGGAGAAAGTTTTTAAACTTTACCTTTTGGACACCATATCAAGAAGTTTATCGTTTTGCTTAATGAACAGTCTGTTAAGTATAGAAGAGGCGTCAAAGTTAAAAAGTGAGAAACAAGTTGTTGTTGCAGAGCTGGCAGACTCAACGTTGGCTCTAACCGAGTCATTTGGAATGCCAACTTCACTACTTAAGACGCCGATCAGTGGAAATTGGGTGAATTACAATGACCACGACAATCAGGGAGAAATAGACTTCTAATTTCTAAGATTCCACGCTCGTCAGAGGAGTGCTGATAACATTAAGTGTAAATAACTTTTATTTGGAAGTTGGAATTAAGTGGAATTATATTTTTATATAGCACGTTTTTCTATCTTTGAGAAGTAATAACGGGCAGGTCACAATGAAAAGCGCTAAGATCCAAGAAGTTGAAACTCGTAGTATGAATGCACACGTATTTTATAGTTGGTAATTTATGTTCTTCAAAGTGTGCCGCTCTGGCTACTAAAGTAAAGAAGCACACGCCTGATAAAATGAAGGTACGCTTCAAGGTAAGAACTTAATGCAAATGTGTAATGTTGAGAATATTTGTGGCTCAATTCAATCGGAACTGATGAAAAAGTTTCTCGAATAATGCCTGACATCTCCAGTTTGAAAAATCAGGAATATTTCATCTATTAAGGTGACCACCTCTATGTCCTCTGAAAGTGGTTAGTTACAGAAGCGGAATACTACGAAGAAACTTTTTTCCAACCCAAGTCGCAAATAAAAGTTCTGTTTTGGTATAGTTCATATCATAGGCAATTTAATAGCATCTGTTGCTGCTTTTTTAATACCTAGTGTTAATTCCTGTTTGATAAAAACAGAAATTATGAAAATGTATGGGATTTTGTATGTATGAAAATTTATATTTCCCCTTCAACTGCTATTTTCTCCGCCGAGACGCTTTTCGGGATCGGAAAACTTTGGCTTAACATTTTCTCTTTCTCTTTCATTTTTGGTTTGCCTTTATACAGCCGAGCTTACAATTTTAAAGCTTCTTTTTTCAAATGTTTTTATTCGTGTTTAAGTTAACATCGAGCCCCAGAACTAATCGAATTTGTTAAATATCTGAACGTAGCTGAGATATTTTTATACGTAAGAACTTTTTATTTTATTCACCTTCAAATGTGGTTTTTCGGGATTTGACTTTTCATTTTGTTGAGCTGAGTTCTTCTTCATTTGCTTATTATCTTATCCAAAAAGTCAATTATTTTTGTTTTTCCTACTCAGGGGCGGATTTAAGGGGGGGCGGGGGTGAGGTTGGACGCTCCTTCCCCCTCAGGGATTCGACCCCCTGCCGACCCAAAGGGTCCCCACTATGGTACTTTTTAAGAAATCCATTTTTCATTTTTGGCCGACTAACCCTAAAATTTTTCTAAAGGCGTTTTTGGCGCCTACATATACTAACTTTGAGGGGGAGCGCGCGCCCAAAAAACGCTATTTTTTGTCAACATTTTCCAAAAAAAATGCCCAAAAACAGCTTTTTTGACCTTTTTTAAAAAATTTGCCTGCGGCGCAGAAAAATTGGCCAAAACAGCGTCTTTTTAGTGCTTAAGGAGAGCTCGGAAGAAAATCAATTTGGTCGATAAAAAAACAGGTCGTCAAAATTTTCAAATTATTTTTTGAAAATCCGCCCCCCCCCCCCCCTCGAAAAAATCCTAGAGCCGCCCCTGTTCCTATAATGCATGTTTGATCTGCTTCTGATTTCAAACATTGAGAATGTTTTGAACATGAAAGCTTCGATTTTTTATCTTTCATTTTTAATGACTTCATGAGCCACCCATATGCGGTGTGAACGCGTGTTGAGCGTGTAAACTTTAAATAAAAAACTAGCGTAATCTCCAGTTTTTTCCGTTTGATCAGTTTAATTTAAGCAAGCACCAACTTACGTACCTTTAAAAATTCACTTCAGATTGTTTTTTCTGGTTTTTGTTCCGACCATTTGAAAAATGTGGAGGAACTTTGTATTCGGGTGTTTTTTTTTGGTTTTCCACGTAAAATTAGGTGCTACAAAGAATCATCGGAATATTTCGAGTTATATACCAAACTGAAATCCTTCAGTCGAAATTTTTAAATGTAATTCGAATCACAAAAAGTATTCTTAGTATCGAGAAAAACTGGTTAAAAATGTTTTATTTTTTTTTATGCAAATAAAGCGAGCGAGCAGGCTTACAACAACTTATTTATGCTTAATTTAAGCGCTGAAAATTTAGATTTCACCTAGTAAAATTAGTTTTTAGAGTTTTGTAAGCGCCATTTAGGGAATCAATGGAATCATTCTGTTTTTCTAGTCGTTTTTCTACAAAAATTGTTGTCCAGTTTGCCTATATTACTATGCTGGTCGAATATGTCTAAATTATAGTTTCACCTTCTCAGTTTTTTTGTCACACGACGCAGAAAAAAACTACAATAATTTGAAAAAAAATTAGTGCTATAAAGACTGTGGTCGGAACATTCTGTGCTACTTTCACAGTAACCGACTATCCTTGTTATATTCTATTAATATTTGATAGAATGAAGGCAAGTAAAGCTCTCTGAAAACTAGCATTTTAGAGCTTTTTTCTAATTTTTTTAAAAATTACTTACCAATTTTTGATTAAATTATTTTGGAAAAACTTTATTCGACTGAAAAACCTTTTAACTATAAATCAATTAAGATCAAAGCCCAACTTTGATCTTAATTGATTTATAGTTAAAAGGTTTTTCAGTCGAATAAAGTTTTTCCAAAATAATTTAATCAAAAAGTGGTAAGTAATTTTTAAAAAAATTAGAAAAAAGCTCTAAAATGATAACTCGAGCAAGCTTGCGTTCAAAGTGACATACGGTCAATCCATTTTTTTCCAATGCATTTTTTTTATAATTGAAGTTAAAAATAAACAGGGATTTTTTGTGAGCCGTTGTAGATATTGCCGCCTTGAGTTCAAATCTATAAAATTGTTTTAGCTGCAAGATTGTTTCGTAAATTCTCGTAGGTTTGATTGATTACAATTGCGAAGCGTGTGTATTAGTACGAACCTTCTTTTTTTCCAACCTAAGTCGCAAACATTGGTGCCACTTTTGAGCTTTTTCATAGCATGTGCATTGACATTCGAATATTAATTAGTTAACACAGTTCATGCATGTTTAATTCATCAAATGAACCGAAAAAAGTGATTTGTTTCAAGCAACAACAGTAATGAAAACTCGATTTCAGAGAAATTTTCTAAATCAATCTATCTCGCAGTTTTATGAAATGCATAATTTACACATAATGTGGTTTTATGCTTTGCGATTTGTTACATGCATAGTTAGTGTGGATGCCTTCAGTTTATTATATTCCAAATTGTTTTTTTTTTTAAAATTGAGGCAAACAATTAGTCAGGCATTTTGAGAATTTGCATTTGGTGCCACATCTGCTGAATGGCATTGGCATTTTTAAGCATATGTAGCTGCTTTATTCGTGACTTGTGTTTGTCGGTTGTTAAGCTTGCGTGGCTGAGTGAATAGTGCGTGAGACTCAAAATCTCTTGTTTGCAGTAGGTCGCAGATTCGAATCCTACATGTAGCCAAGTTTTTGCTAATTCAAGGCTTATTTCTATTTTTTCTAATTTCACTTGATAGAGCTGTTTTTTGGTCGTGTTCTCGCAAGTATTTGCGAAGTGCAGCTTGGCCTCTGTGTAGTTTTTTGTCGATTATTAGGATTGAAGTATTAGCAGTTTTATGCACAAATTTATGATGCTAATCACGTAAGGGAAACCAATTTGAGAGAGGAGAAGTTCTACAAATGTTAACGCGTTCGAAAAACTATTTCAAACTGAGGCGAGCTTAACTGTCCAAAAAAGCATTTACAGTCAAGTGTTTTTTTTCAGTTTTTCTAAGAAACTTTTTTTCACGTTACAGCCTGTATGTTTTTGCTTTTTTGCCGCTTTCCAGAACTAGTTGTCGGCTTTATTTGACATAAGTTTGGGAAATGCAGTGTATAATTTTTTCTGAAGCCTAAAAAACTGAAAACAATAAAAATGTATTTTCTTTGTTAATTTCCAGCTGCCTGTTAACGATATGTGCAATTAATTCTGGTTTTTGGATCTAAAAAAAGAGAGTTTTTTTCATCAAAAAATAATTTGATCAATTTTTTTTCCAAGTTTCATTTTAATTGAGGATTTGAATTTAAAGAGAGATCAACGAATCGACATTTTTGTTGGATTTCCCAAGTTCTTTATGTTCGTGGTTGAATTTTTAATTTTGAAAAATGAACGTTTTTTTTTGTACCGTAGGGAGCATTTCAAATGACTTCACAGGGTTCATATACGACTGCTGGCTCTAGTAAAACTTGAATTTTCTTTAAAACGATTTAAACCCTTTTTGAGAAATTTATTCAATCTATCCTGACAGCTTTTAGTTTTAGTTTTTTTCTGCTTTAATTAATTAAGCAAAAGAAGTATCATTGAAAAGATGAAATGGGGCCTTGTGATATATTATATTAAAGACTTTTCACTTATGAATGGCTCGTTTTTACAAAATTTCCAAAAAAAAATTCAGTGTCATGAAAATTCGGTGCGAACATTTTGCTTTTGTCATATTTAGATTTTAAAAAAAAGAACGAAAAATTCTTAATTGAGTTGTGAAAATCAAGTTCCTAGCTAGTTCTTAAAATTTTATTCAGCGCTTGCCTAGCACCAAAATTTAATGGTTTTAATATTTTGTTTCCGATTGAGTTTTTGCGTGCAATTAGCAACTTTATCAAATCGGATCATATTCTTTTTTGTGTAAACCTCTTTTTGACAGAATCACTGAATCTCTTAATGGCTTGCTTCGTAACAAATTCAATTTCAACGTTTTATACTGCATGGTTGGCCTACAGGCTCAGGGTTCAAATCCCGCCTGGAGTTGTTGTTCTTTTAAACTGAACACTTTCGACTTGGAAGTAATTCCATACCGGCCTCTCGAGTCTTATTTTTTGTCAGTTTTCTTACCACAGCACAGTCTTTTCGGGTGATGTAAAAAAAGTTACTAAAATTTAAAATCCGCTTGATATATTCCTCTACTGATGCAGGAAGATGAGTTAATAGAAGTTTTGTTGATTTTTTCATAAATTCGAGTTATACAATTATAGAACATTTTTGATTTTTTAATTTGTGTTTTTTGTCCTCTTAGTTACAAGAATGGTTCCTGATCAAGGCTAAAGCAAATAATTTTTATAGCATTAAAACTGAGTTCTGGGTTCTTTTTTAAGTATCTAAAATTTTCTTATATTGAGAAAGAGAAACACTTTATTGTTGCATCAATTTTCGCATTAAGAAAACTGACTGTGGATGGAACAAGTGTACAAATTTATTATATACGTTAATAAAAGAAAAAAAACCATTTCATCAGTCACTGAATATACTCTCCCTATGAAGTATTGGGGAAGTTGGGTGTCGGAAAAAAAACCAATTTTTATCTTCTCTTATGCATTAGAGTCTATCCTATATTGTTCCGACTTTCCATACGAAAGTAACGGAATATTTGTGCTCGAGGTGGTTTTTTTTCAGACAAATTTCGAATTTTTCACTAGCCATTTTTGACGGAATTTTTTATATCATTCGAAAGGTATTGCTGTCTTGAGCTTAAATTTGAAAAAATATTCCACCTGTGATCATTTTTTGTAAAATTATGGGGGTTTAAAGATTGCCATTTTGGCCAATTTGGGACAATTAACGAGCGATATATTTCAATCTATCAACGCGTAAGCGGAGATTTAATCCGTCCTAGAATTTATTCTAAGTTGGTGGTTGAAAGAAGCTTATTTGTCATAATTGACTTGTTACAAGGAGCGAAATCTATCTTTTTGTAGGTTTGTCATGGCCTAAATAGGTTTGTCATGGCCTAATTAATCAGTATGCCAAATTTGATAACAACCTGACAATGTGAACAGAAAATTTTTTCTAAAAAAATTCAGGTGGGGAAAAGGAAAAAGAGCCGTAAATTTTGAATTCAGGCAACCTGACAAAAATAGGTGTTTTGATTATTTTTTCAAAAATTTTTTTCTTTTCCTATTTTTTTTATCTATTGTCCAATTTTTTGACCTTTTTATCTAAGATGTAAGTTTTATTGTTCTAATTAAAAACAATAATTTTATGGGCCTAGTGCTCAGCTGACTTCCTTATGCAGTTTTCATCTTTATATTTTTTCAGGGCGCAAAATCATCAAAGTTTAAAATTTTCGAGGAGCCTGGCTGTTTGTGTGTCGAAGTACTTCCACGTTCTTGATCCGGGCGAATTTAAGGGGGGGGGTTAGACGCTCCTTTTCCCTCAGGGATTCGACCCCCTCACGAACCAAAGGGTCCCCTTCGGTATTACTTTATGACATCCATTTTAGGCCGACCAACTTAGGCCGAGCAATACATTTTATGACGCCAATATATACTTATTATGAAGGTGAGCGCGCGCGCCGAAAAAACCGCAATTTTTTTAGTCAACATTTTTCGAAAAGTGCCCAAAAACAGCCTTTTTGACCGTTTTTTTTTTTAAAATTTGCCAGGGGCACAAGTTTTTTTTGGTCAAAATAGAGCATTTATAGTGTTCAGGGAGTGCTCGGAAAATCAATTTGGTCGTTCAAAAAAAAGCGCCAAAATTTTCAAAAATCCATTTCCAAAAATCCGTAACTTTTCAAAATTAGATATCACTAAAATAATTGAACAGTACCAACTGATCTGTCTTATTAAAGCCGCTTAAAAATGATTATGGTTGCAAAAAAACCATCCATATATTTTTTCAAATTTCGAGAAACTATTCCTTTCTTTTCCGCGGAATCTGGTATAGCACAAATTACAATTAAGTATTTTGCAAGAAATAGGAATTTCTGTCAATTTTTTATGCATATATGAGCTTCATGCATAATAAAAACAGCTAAAAAATTTACCGCTTTCCAAAGTTTTAGTATGATAATTGATCGGAAATTTCTGGGCTACTTGCTACATTCTGCAGTTTTTTTTCTGTAAATTCTCCGTATTTTTTCACATCAGAGGAGGAATTTCATCTTTCTTTAGTTAGGTTTCCAGAAGGTTTATAGTTTAACATTAAATTGTTAGAAAATCGGAAACAAAAATTGAGAGAACAAAATGATAAATTTCAATGAATAGAGCACCATTTGCAAATCGGGCTTTAAGTTTCAACTACCCAAATGGCGAGGCTGTTGGGTCTTTAAACAAGTCTTTTATTGATGGCATTGTGTGGGTTTCGAAATTAAGGTAAGGTTTTGGGTCATTTTCTGGAAACTCATCAGACTTGCCTTCATTTTCGGAGTTTTCGTTACTACTCTCCATATTTTCGTCATTGTATCCATCGTTTGGTTTTGTTTTGCGCCGTTTCATATACTCTGCAATGCTAAGAGATGCTTTCGGTTTCATTGAAGAGTAATTTCCAAAATCCGATTGCTTGTCGCCGTCCAGTTTCGAGGGCGAAACATTTTCAGAGGGCAAAACAAAAGGCGCCAGGCCCGATGGACTGGGTTTGTTTAGAGTTACTTCTGGTTTATCTTTTGTATCTCCGTCTAATTTTATATCCAACGCGTCCACTTCGTTTAAATGACTGGCAATATGATCATTATTTTGTAATCTACTGTAAATATCTAGGGGGAAATCAGGTGAGTTTGGAGGTTTATCGTCAGCATCTACGCTATAATTCATTTCGAACTGCGGAGAGTTGAGTGCTTGAACCTGTTGCTGATATGCGCTCTGGATGTTGAATTCTAGACTAGAAGACGACAGCTGGTGTTGAAGCTGCAGCGATGACGTAGTTAGAGTCGTTGCACCATTTGGCGACGAAAGATTTCGCTCCAGGGCTGGCGACACTTGTGACTTCGGAGAAATAACGACTGGTAGCGTTTTAGCTGTGGACGTTACACTTCGTTTTCGCGGATCGGTCGGGCGCGCTGGAACCGATAACAGTTTGGGTGCTATCATATTTCCTGTGTGCACGTTATTACCCGTACTGGGTGATTCTATCTTGTTGAAAACGTCTTTCGAGAAATCCACCTTAACTGGGACTTTCCATGGGATAAGTTCGGTGCAACTAACGAAAGATCCATCGTCTGCGGTTGCTTGCGTCGTAATTGGGAACACTAGCGGGGGTCTCGACGCGATGTCATGATACACTGATGACGTAACAAACCCTTTGGTTAGCCTAGGATCTCGAATTGAGGAGTCGAGTAGTTCGATTGGAATCAACTGCGTGTCTTTGTGGAGAATTGGAGTTGGGGTTGTCGGTGTTTTCATAGAAGGTTTTAAAGACGCTCCTTCTGACGCGAGCGTTTCGATTCGCAGTTTGGGCCCGTCAAACTTCCTAGTTTCAACTTCCTAAAAAGAACGAAGAGCCTCAATATTTATGAGACCAGACCATGAATTTCAAAAATTTCTGGTTTCGTGGTCTGTAACCAAATTTGAAATAAACTATTTATCGATTACAAGAAACAAAATTAAAAATTGATAGTTTTTAAAGTAATTGTGCTTAATTACCTGTTGCTGAGCCGTTTCCATCTTTATTTCTGGCACAATTTGCACTTTAATCAACTTCTCTATCGAGTTGTCTGCTGGCGGAGTCTGATCTGTGCTGTACCCGAAGCCTCCCTGTGGCATAGGCGAGTTCATACTCTGTGGTGGAGTGTTCATCAGAGGGTTTCCACTTTGATTCAAAGGAACCCCTGGAATGATTGGCATCCTGTGAGGCATTGGACTTCCCATGAAACCAGGCGGTGGTCCCGACATCATATTGTTGGGCGGAGGCGGACCATGACCCATGTAACCCTGTGGGTTTGGAGGTCCACCTGGACTGTTGAAATTCATTGGACCGGGACCCGGTGGTCCGCCCATACGTGGTGGAGGTCCCATATTAGGCGGCATCTGGTTTGGTCCAGGAGGCCCATTATACGGTAGCTGCTGATTAGGGAACTGTCCTCTATGGGGCGGGTTGTTGAAACCTTGATTTGGCCCCATTTGTCCCGGAGGTGGGGGTCCCCCCATGTTAGGAAGTGGTCCTCTTGGGGGCTGGGCCACATTATTTAGACCATTATATGGAGGGCGGTGTTGAAAATTATTTGTTGGAGGAGGAAACTGGCCGTTGTTTCCTTGATTTGGCGGGAGCATTCCGATATTAGGAGGGGGTCCTCTATTTGGACCTGGGGGATTGTTCGGTCCAAATCCAAAATTGTTCGGTGGTGGCCCCGGTAGCCTGTTGTTTGGGTCGTTGAAGCTCATTCCTACTTGGCCGGGAGGTAGAGGAGTTTGACTGACTGGTGGCATGCCAGGAAGCGAAAATCTCCTGAAAACAAATTCAGATGAACATTTATAGCTATAACTGAACTGCTATTCTAATATATACCCTTCACTGGAAACTCCTAGATCTTCCCGTGTCTCCCCTACTTTAAAAACTATTACATCCAGTATAATGTTCCGGTAATTGTTTCTTTGAATCAAATTGACTTACTGCATCCCTGGATTGGTCGGCCTTGGGTTGTTAAACATGCTGAAATTCTGCTGCTGATTGGCTCCGGAGGGGGGCGGCGGTCCGTTATCAAAGCCTCCTCCTGGTTGATCAAATCTGCTCTGACGAGGCGCTACTCGATCTGTTTGGTTACTCGAGTCATTGCCTGAATTGCTTGATGCGCTGTTATTGAATTGCGATTGGGTACCGAAATGTTCTGAGTCATCGTGTTTGCGTTCATCGCAATCTTCTGGGTGGTCGTCGTCGCCACTTCGTCGGTCATCGCGATCGGCATGGAAACTTTCCTCGTCTAGAGGGGGATGTTCGCTCCACTTAGGGGGAAGTTTGGATTTTCCATGAAGTGGAGTTTTATTGGTGTTAGTAAAATTTTGAGGTGCATTTTTGAACGGGTTTCTGCTAGGTGGCTGAGGTGGCGCCGAGTAGTGGGGTCCATTTCCAAAGAACTGATTCTCTTGCTTCTGCTTCAGTTGAATATGTTGCTGACTGATGTGTCGAGGATTTGATGTTAACCACTAAAACAAAACAGAAATCCTTCTTAAATCCTAAATGCCCCTAAATCAACGATAGATAAAATAAAAAACGCTAACAGATTTAATGCTCAAAAATATTTCATGCAGGTTTCATATGCAAAGTTATAACTCATTGAAATTCATAAATCATCGGCCCGATTGTATCAAACCTGTCCTATAGTTATATCTCTTCGCTTGAGTAGTGGTTGCTACAAAACATACAAATGTATTTCAATATGTAACCCTACAAATTAACAAAGAGTGAACTTTTTGAAGACGACAGAGGACCAGAATTATGATCTACCTGGCCAGTACGATCGTCTTTGCGCTCGTACTAAAAATATACTCATCAGAATAGACTTTCTTTGAGGGTCAAACTGGTATTTAATGAGCAGTGTTTGGCAGTATATATAAATTTTTTCAAAGTTAATGTTTGGCAGGTGTGAAAAATAATTTTTGGTGCGATCTTCTCCTTGAGTTAGAACGAAGAATATTTTTCCAACTCTTCCTCCGAGGTTAGATTTGGAGATCAAAAATGTTTGACAATTGACAAATTGCAGGTGGGGAAGAGGGTAACAGGAGCCAGAATGCGGAATGCCTTGTTCGATAATAGATAGCTTACATCTTCGAGTATCTGAAGTGTGAAGGGGGTTGGTTTGTCGTGTGAGAAGAGACACTGGTCGCCCTTGTAGCAGATGAGTCCCTTGGCGTGGTACTTGCAGGGGAACTGGCCATGCAGCATCCCACATTGGTCCCCCCACTTGCAGTTGCCGTGCAGGTAGGCCCTGCAGATATCCAGCGACTTCTCAACCTCCTGATCACAGTCGTGCGAGAAGTCACACTCATCGCCCTGTACAAAAAAATTGAAAATGTTGATTATTGTTCCGACTTTCGATACGAAAGTAACGGAATATTTGTGCTCGGGGTGGGTTTTTTTTTCTTCAGACAAATTTCGACTTCTTAACTAGCCATTTTTGACGGAATTTTTTAAATATCATTCAAAAGGTATTGCTGTCCTGAGCTTAAATTTGAAAAGATATTTCACCTGTGATCGTTTTTTGTAAAGTTATGGGGGCTTAAAGAATGGCATTTTGGCCAATTTGGGACAATTAACGCGCGATATCTTTCGCGCTATTAGCGCTTAGATTTAATCCGTCTTATAAATCGTTCCAAAATGATTGAAGGAAGCTTATTTGCCAAAATTGATTTGTTACTAGAAGCGAGATTTATCACTTTGTGCTTTATTTGGCGTGTGAGGGGATGATTTTTACAAAAAAAATCTCAAATTTTACAAAATTTTTTTCATTTTATTTTCTTTTTTTTTACATTTTATTTTTTCATGTTTTTACTGCTTCATATGCCTTAAAAGGCAGTCCGAACATTCAGGGCTTCGCCCTGATACGAGCAGTCTTGTTTAGCTTGAATTTATACTCCGACGTACACAAAATTCGAAATCACATTCACAGTTATTCGTATCAACAAATTTAGATAGTCTAAATGATAATTTTTGATAGATTTTCTCTACACAGTATCATGCCTTCATATTTCTGCAATCTATCAGGGAATTGATTATGCAAAAATGCTCAATGTCCGAAAATTATGTCAGCCAATCAGAATTCAGTTTCAGTATTAAAAAAGACGAAAAAATAAGCGTAAAAATCGTTAATGTTGAGCATTTTTAAGAGCGTTGATTAGTGAAGATTTGCACGTTTTCGGCCCATCTCTAACCCTAACCCCTCTCTAAAATTCATCTTAAGAGTTCCATACTGACCAGTTTGCAGAATCCGATCTTTTTGAAGAAGAAGCATACTCTCTTCTCGTTGCTGTTGTGACTGCTGTTGTTATTGTTACTGTAGTGGTGCTGGTGGTGGTTGTCTGGGCCTGACGGCTCCTCCTTCCCCAGTCGCTTTTCCATCTTCTTCCTCTTCTTCGCCATCACTTTCTCCTTCTCCTTATTCGTAATGTACTCACTGAGAGAAGCCGCATAGTCATCCTAAAACACACAAGCACTAATAAATAAAGCGAATAACTCCACTTTGTCTGAACAATGCCAAACTTATCATATTACATATTAGCATCTATGACTGCAAGACAGTCGGTTTCTGTTCTCGATGAGATTGAGTTGCCTAAAAGAGGATATATTATTGGGCATTCGTGGTATTGCGAAACTAAAATTTCGTTTGTACCAGTTTGATAGAGCATCGTTTCGTTGCTATCATGGCATCCCTTATATGTTGCTTTCATTTATTTTAAGAGCATTATTGTGTTTATAATGACTTACTAAGTTCAAATTGTGTAACGCAAACAAAAATTTCTGAAAGGAATGCAAAATAGTGCAGAAACTTCTGGCAGCCTGTAAAAACTTTCTCTTCCAGAACAAATCGAATGTTTTTAAGCGTGTTGCCAATTCTCTTCGGAAGTAAACTATAGGAAGATTTGCTGACCAGCTGTATTAAGCATTGCATAGTTCGTTTTGCATATTTGGCTTGTTTATCAGTCAACTAGGTTTAATAGTTCATACCCCTTTCGCGGTAGATTCTGGCGATCCCACAGGTTGGTCGTGATCTTCGTGGTGGAACCGCGCCTTCCCAAATTTCCCAATCTGTCTGCCGAATTTTGCTTGTCGTGGTGGCGATGTCATGTCTGCTAAAGGCTCTTCGTTTTCGCGACTATCGCGACGCTTTCTCTCATTTCCAGCGTTCCATTTATCTTTTAATGCTTTGAATTCGTCGGTTAGTTCTTTATCGCTGCCTCCCAATACTTCGCTGTCTTCGCCCTCGTCACTCGACTTCGGAGACTTCGACTTTGATTTCCTCTCGGCCTGCTGTTCGCCGCTTCCTTCGGCGCCCCGTGAGCTTTGCTCTTCCGCATTATAAACAGGTGACCACCGTGTATTTCTTTGTGCTCTCGGGCCTCTGTAGCCAAATTTCCTGTCTCGATTGTTGAAACTATCTCTGGGTGAGTTTGAATTGTGACTCCTTGCAACCGGTGGCGATCTCGATTTTTCTTTACTCGTTGAGTGTCTGAGGTCTCTATCTGCTTCAGTGGTCAATTTTCTCTGACTTCTGATGAAATCGTCAGCGGAAGAGTTTCGACGCACTTCTTTGTCTGCACAGCCTTCGTTCTCCTCCCCTTCACTCTTCTCCTCGCCTTCTTCCAATTCGTCCGTGTTGACCCAAATTGCACTTCTGTCAAACAATAACGCTCTTCAAAAAAATTATTTATGATATCAACAAATTCTTGTCATCATTGCAATTGTTTGCATGTAATTTTTAAAGTCGCATTGGTTAACATACAATCAATAGCCTTTAAGGCAGACTCTTCAACTGTAAACGTTCTAGGCTTTTCAAAACCAAATTCCGTAAATTTAAGTTTCCATAAGATTAAGTCACTTTTTAAGAAAAAAAGGGTCAATTAAAATGGGCCCTTCCGTCATGCGACGATTTGTTCGCAGGTTTTAATAGTCACTTTTTAAGTGACTATTTTTAATAGTCACAAAGAGGAAATATTTCCAATATTTTGTTTATGGCAAATTTTCAATGTTGAATTCAATTTAGGTTTATCCTTGGCTCACGTTGATTTAAATGATAATGCGATAACTTCATCGAAACTATTCAGAAACTTGAAGACATTTCAAGTAACTTGGTTCTTAACAAACTGTATCTTATCTTACTCCCACCTATTGGGGTTATCTTGAGCAGCAGCAGTAGTATTAGTTGTGCCTGCAGCAGTGATGGTGGTTGTTCGTGTGCTGGCTACTGGCTTGCTCTTCTTAATCAGCGTCTCTCCATCGTCCTCCTCCTCATCCTCGTCCGAATCACTCCTTTTTCGCTTCTTCTCTTTCTTTTGCTTCTGACAACACAATAGAAAACTCAAAAACTTTCCCATATTGATAACGATATAAAAGTAACGATGAAAATTGATGTTAAAAATAGTTCCAGGGCAAAACAAGATAATGGCTACATTTCACTCACCTTTTCCATTTTTTTCTCCCGTCTTTTCCGCTTCCGTTCCTCCCGGGAGCCGTCCGAGTCGCGGTCTGCGTCAGGAGGCGCCACGTCCTCAAAGAATCTCATCGGGTGCGCGTATCGAGGGCTTTCGCCACGCTCCTCTGGAGCTGCGGGACTTCTCCTTTTAAAGTGCTGTGTTTCAACTTTCCGGGATTCTGAAACGAAGAAACCTCTATTGATTTATGCTTGTTTCATAGCTCATAAAATGAAAAATCATTCTGATAAGTCCTAAAACATAAAAGCAGTCACATACGTTCCAAAAACTGTCCAATTGGTCTAGAACTATTAAACCGACTAATATTAAACAGTTTAAAAGTCATTTACGAGAATGACCGTTCCATGGAATACTTAATATCAAATTCCACGCTCATTTAGGCATCGCCGTTTTGTATTGAGACATGGTCACAAAAAGTCTTGAGGGTAACTGCATTTGGCTAGTTTATTTATTTATATTTTGAAGTATTGGCCAGCTCAAAATTCGATCAATCAGAATTCGAGTTGAATGTTTTTGGGACATTTTGAAATGATTTTTTTACTTCGGGTCTATCTATTTTTACTTCTATGCACTTTGGCACCTATGTGAATTCACCAATAGGTTTGCAATGATGTTAGAATTAGGTTCAAACTTCTTGTATGCTGTTCATCAATATTTCCTCTAACTCACACCTGTGAAAACACAAAATTTGTTGTTTAATCGAATTTCGTCCCAATGTTTCGTCTCTGATTCCGGTAAATTATATGAAATTTAAAGTTTTGAGCTTTTGAAATTCTCTGGACTATCACTCTATAGCCACATTAAAATGTGTCACTTTATGGCGTAACAAGATTGGGTTGTGGTTTTGGGGGTTTGTGGGTGCAAGGGTAGAAAAAGCCTGGCTTCAAAACCTTTTTTTGCCAATTTTCCGGCATTTCAATACTGACCATCTAAATGATGGCGCGGACTCTTTTTATGGTCTCCGTTCCTATGATGGTGATGAGACCTCTCCGTTTCGACGCCTCGTTTTTCGCTGTTCGCTCTCTTTACCACTTCGGTCTTGTTGTTTATTGTTTGTACTTCCTTCTCGGGGATGTGAACAGTTTCATCTTCGCCTTCCTCTCCCTCTTCCTCGCCGTCTTCTAACTCTCCGTCTTCTGCTTCCAAAATTCCTTCTTCTTCTGGAGTCATTTTCACGAATAATTCCCCAGGTAGTTATCAATTTGTATCAGATGCGCTATTCTGAACTTCTTCGTGTGGCTCGCACACTTTTTTCTGGAGATGTTATGAGATCGACTGTTTTCAAAAGATTTCAGAAAGAAAAACTTTCTGAGTTGATTGCGTGAAATAAACAGCAAGTATCTGAAACAAAAACATACATTTTAGAAATAAATTTGTTAGGTTTACATCATAAATTGCTTTTCGTTCGCAATTTGTTGATATACCCGATTGGATTTTGCATCATAGATTATACTTTTAATTTGCTGTAGCTGACACGATATTTTTCTAACACGATATTGTTTCTATAGTAAACTGCGAGTCTCTTTCATTGTCAGAGCGAGTGCTTTCGTAGGTTTTTTTTAATGAGAAATGCTTTTTTATGAGAAATGTAGATAAGCCTCTTAGTTGACGAAGATCACTGAGCTCAATACTTATTAATGTCGAATTGCTTACTATGTGAAAATCTGCATATGGATATGCTGTGATAGCGTTACGTGCCTGAAATAGCTGGCAAAAATTATAGATGGTATCTTAAGGTACTCAGTCCGATAGCGGTTTAAAAGTTTTATTTTAGGTCTTTTGCAAAATTAAAAACTAAATTATTAGTTGCTATGCTCATATCAAAGAATATTCCGATCTCGGTCAATTTTAATGATAAATATATTTAAAAAAATCTTTTTTAGCTAAACATAATCAAACTTGACTTTCCTACGAGATTAAAAGAGCTACGTGTAACAAATATTATAATTTCTCTAGAAAAATATAGCTAACAGACGGTTGCAAAAGTGCCAATAAACTCAAGAAAACCGGAAGAAAACGATGATTTTTTGCCTTGCGATTTTTTGCCTACTATATTTTATGTGGTGCCTGATCTAAAGTTTTTTTAAAAAAATACGTGAAGTCATAGTTACTGCGCACTTCGTGGTCAGAGTAATAATTACTAAGTTATTGACAATTGGCCCACCTCGTTTGAATTTGATACGAGAAAAAAAAACAAGTATCAATGCTTGAACGTTTTCGTCAATTAAGACATCATTAAATTTAATGATTATTTCGAAAGAAAAACAAGACTGCTCGTTTCAGGATAAAACCTTGAATGTTCTGACTGCCCTTCAACGGTTCTCGAAAAATTTGGGAAAGGAGTATTGACAAGCTGTAAAGTTAAGGCTGATAATATCAAGTTAAGTGTTAAAACTTGAGTTGCGTACGGAATTCAACAACTAACTAAACTCAATTCAATTTTGAATGATTTTTCCACGGTATTAAATACATGAAATTCGCAGGCATTAATTATCGCGAAATTGCATAACTTTAAGAAAGCCTCCATAATTAAACAAAAAATGATCACGAAAGTCTTTTAATTTTGATGTTTCTTCTTAAAAAAAACTATCCCAAATTGGCATAGGTGAACGAAAAATGATCACCGGGAAATATATAATTTTAATTTAATCACTTTCTTTCAAACGATGCAAAAAAATTGTTAAAAATTGTTTGTAAGAAACTCCATTTTTATGGCTCAATTTTAAATCAAAATTCAGTATTGACACGATTTGCTAACAGTAATTTACTCTTAAAGCCGTCAACTTTGAATCGAATTTGCGTTATAGAAGAGATAAATTCGAGGCTTACGAGTTTTGCAAAAATATGTAAAAGCGCACATTAATGCAAATTTTAAACAAAAAAATTGGCTTCAAAAAATACTAAGCGCACAAACAGGAAAATACTTTATGATTGCCAGAAAAAGCTGTATAAACTTGGAAAAAAAATACTAATCGAATAGCAAATGCTTTCTAAAAGTACCCGCTAGAAAAATTCAGAAACGTTAACTCACTAAAACTAACTTGAAATCGAAAATTTTGGTGATGCTTTTTTTCAGTTCACTAAAATGTTGACTAAAAATTACTTTTGAATTAACTCAATTTTTTATCTTGAAAGTCTGAAAAAGCACTGATCATTTCATCAAAGTGGGACCTTCATATTAGTAGCAATTTTTTATTTTGTGTGCGCAATTTCTTGCCAGCCAAAAAAATTACTAGTTTTGAAAGCTTCTTTGTTGATATGAAAAACGTGCCAACATGGATAGCACCGAAAATTCCAAGTATCACAGAAATTAGCACAGTAAGTAGCACAATTACTTTCTAAGTAGCAGAGAAAATTCCGATCACATACTTCCGGCCTCATTCGCTTAAAACATAAATACGACATAATCGACCACAGTCGTTGTCAAAAAATGAATTGAGAAAAAAAATTCAAAAGAATTTGCAGTTTTCTTAATTTTTTTGGAAAAACATTGATTGCCAGGGAAACGTTTTGGGGCGCTTCGAAACTAGTTTTCCTGGAAGGAAATCAAATTGCACTGCTTGCATAAAAGCTTTTTTGAGAATTAGTCGCTCGAAATTATGCTAAAAACTTCAAACTAGGTTAAAGAATTTTTTAACGGGTTTTAACATGATATAACACTCGACCCACTACTTGATGATTTATGGTAGCTGAATTTGCGCGAAAGAAAAAACTAAAAAAACTAGAGTATACCCGAAGACAGCTTGTCGCATTTTCAGTGAAATGAACAAAATCAAAATGATGTTATAGTGATTCGACCGACTTCTTATTAAATACGGTTACTCAATAACTAGAACTGTCGGTGGCCTTGAAAGAAACACAAAACGGTCCGAACGCATTTGCACGAAGGTTAAAAACGAGAAAATTTTGGCACATTTTGAGTATTTTTGTTGTTTGGAGTGTGGGTAGGTAAACGCTCAAAAATGAGTTCTAAAAACATAAAATTGAAAAAATGCCAATTAATTTTAGTTACTTCAATTTTTCAAATTATTCATTGCGACAAATCACGACTAAAGGGGGCTTCAATTCAGTTTATCACTTCTATTTGACAATTAGATCAAGTACTTTAATTTTTTGTAAAGGAAAAACTTTAGTCTGAATATAGAAGCACTTCATTGACACTTAATTGATTCACTGATTACGGTGGTAATTTTGAACACAAAATTACCAGCTCACTTCGCAAACACAAGCCAGAACACGACAAAAAGCAGCTCTGGAGTTCTAAAAAGTGCAAAAAGAAAAGAAAAATTTAGCCTCGAATGAGTAAAAATTATAGACCTAGAAATTATGAGTCTCAGGCACTAACAACTCAGCCATGGACGCTTTGTTTATCTCAAACACTAGCCACAAGAAAATCCAAGAACAGATGCTATGAAATTTTCTATGCTACAGATCGTGATTATAGCCAAAATGCTCACAAGTGAGCACTTTTAATGAACATTTTATTGGGAGTTAGGTTAGAAAAAAAAGAAGAATCGAACTAAAAAACTAGCTGCTCGCTAGCGTAAATAAACCATGAGTTTGTTTTAAACTAGTTTTTAAAATCTGCAAAGAAATTCAAATTCGTTTAATTAAAATCATTGACAAATTTATTATTTCCAAACACGTTTTGAACAAGTAAAGAGCAAAAGTATATGTGGATTTTTCATAACATAGCTAACAGACAGTCGTAAAAGTGTCAATAAACTACAAACCAAAAAAAATTAAATGAGTCATTTTCGATCGTTTTTTAAATCTTTCAGAAAAACTGGATCACTTCAAGGCTCTTTGACTTTCAACAGCCTTTCAAGATCAGCTTTGTTTCTTAAAAAAAACGATTTGAGAAATTGGATCAAAAACAAATCTTTTATTCTTTTTTTATTCTGCTTGATAATCTAGACAGTAATTTCTTTTCCGAAACCTTGTGTCATTGTTTCTTCGCACCATTTCAACTTCCATTCCAAGAGAGCATAATTTGCCTTCATTTGATTTGAACTCTAAAATTAACGAAGACAACCGCGAAAAATCAAATTAGAGGGTGAACAACTTTAAAGAATTTGTCCAGAAAAAACAACAAATTAACCCGACCTATATAAGTGTTCTCACCACGCTCATTGGCCCTCAAAGTCTTGATTCGAGATCCTTATCTTTGAGTACAGCTTGAGATGCATGTAGCAGTTTATACAGAAAAAAAATCGGAAATAAATTATTCTGGAAAACATTAATAGCTCTAGTTAAAAATGATCTCGTTTATTTTATCTGCGAAGGAATAAATAATATTAGGATCATTGGGGATAGCAAGCAGCCTGCCGAAATTTATGAAATCGAAATTCAAAAATACAAAAAACTACCCGTAATTTTTTTCTTTTTAACTTTAACAAGCGAAGCGCGGATATATTTTTTAAACAAATTTCGGAGGAAAAATATTAGAACATTCAAGTTCATTGAATATCAAGAAACTTCACTGACCCGCATTTTTCATAAAACTACCCCAATTTGAGAAAACCCGATTACAAAAATCTTTTATCTGCTTGAAAATCTAATAAATTAAATTCGCATTCGATATTTTGTGTCATTCAAGTTCCTTTGCTCCATTTGCATTTTTTATTGTAGAGCGTAATGAATTTTTTAAGAACTTCAATTGAACTGAAAGGAAATTGGATGTCAAATAGCTAAACATCAAATTTAACCGTGAACAATTTTTAAGACATTTTCCTAAAGAAAATCAAGTTGAGTCATATAAGGGTTTTGCCCACATTCATTCAGACCTAATTTCGTTTCTGGATAGCCTAATTATTTTTAGTATACCTTTTTGAGATAAGAGATGCTACCACAAATGTTCTATTTTTCTATGAAACTTAATTATTTTCAAAAAGGAGGTGGTCTTGAAGCACGCTTTGCTTATTATATTTTACAGGCGTTCGATTAGTTTGAAGTTAATTTTTATAAGTCAAGTTTTGATTTAATTTCAGTGCCCTAATCCAAACCTATCCCTCATCAACTCACATCATGAGTTTTCTAAAAGCATTATGGCGTTCAAATTGCTTCAAAATTGAAAATCGCTTGGGGGGGGGGGTTGACAAAGTGTTGTCAAAATATTTAATGAAATGATGATTTTGACGTTATTTGAATTTTTTAAAGCATTTAGCACGTGCAAGTTGATGCAATTTTTAGTTTTATAAGCTTTCATCGTACGCAGAACCAAAACCCTAGAAAAGGTCTCGTTACTGATACGTAGTGCTCCTCTACGTGCAATCTGTCAAAAAAATTTATCCGTAAATACCGTTTAGATGGGTGAGCTTGAAATGTTTTTTTTCAAGTGTTGAAATGCTGAAATGGCAAGTCTCGTGACTTCTGAAAAGCCTTTCGGTTTAGGCTGTCTCAAATTCCTTCAATATACACGCATTAAAATCTACAAAAGAAAAAAATTTAGTTTAAAGGTTTTAATACACAGATCCAAAATTAAAGTTTTGTTATCTATCTTGCTACATTTCGAAAATTTAATCCAAACTTCGTTTGAGAGCGCCCGATGTTTAAAACCGACGGTTTCTTCAATATTTGAGGTGATTTTTTTAAAGAAAAGATGTGACGGTCACTAACCTATTTACTAAGACAGTGTTAGATCATCAAAAATTACTTTTGCATACTTGATTTGGAATCAAGTCTAGTTAAGTCAGTCTTCTTACGCCGTAGCCCATTTGTCCTCTTCTTTTCCCGAGTCAAAGCTTTCCATTTTCCACGAACTATTAACTTTTATTCATTACTTCATTTATTGATCACGTGCATTTTTATGTACTTAGGCGACCCTTTGCGTATGCTCTCTAAAAATTGCTTTTCCCCCTCAATATCAGGCAAACATCAATTTTAAAGTCCCATCCTTTTCACTCAGTAATAAAAGAAATAGTTGTGGGGTTACCATATTATTTTTCACCGCTTATGTCCTAGGAGGGAGGATTATTTAAGGATGTCTTCGCTCGTCCCTACCGTTAATCAGCAACTTCTTGCATTAAATAGTTGGCTCTTTCCAATTGATGAAATTTAAAAACTATAATGGGTTAATTTGTATCTCTTTGTATTTTTATGGGACGTGAAGTATAGGAGGGTCGGAAATTTTTAGATAAACTTATGATTTTCTGGGTCAAAAAACGCTCAATAATTTATTTGCCTCCTTTTTCCGTCCCCGCCCCTAACAAGCATCAATTTTATGGCAATGAGAGGTTTTACAAGGTTAAGTATGAAAACCAAATGTTTGTCATGGCCTAATTAGTCTGCCTGCCACTTTTTATAACAACTTGACTATCAGCAAAAAACTTCGCTGATGGAAAGGAAGAGCCCAGCCCTATTTTGCAAACATTTTGGGCGCCTCAGGCAAGTTTTCAGGAAAAAAAACTGGGCAAAAAGACCGCTTTTAGGCATATTGCTGAAGGTTTTGGCTTGAAAGTTTTAACGCGCTCCCAGAATTTTTTATTGGCGCCAAATATGCCTTTGAAAAAATTCTGATGTATCTCGGCTGAAAGCCGATGCCCGTGAAGGACTCCTAGTAAACGCCCACAACCCCCCCCCCCCCTTACCCAAAAAAACTCCGTTGTTTTGTATACTTATCGGGCACAGGTCATTTAAAAATTTTTTACATAATTAGTATATTATTACAGGCATTTTGGTGCAATTTACGGTTTGAAATGGATGTTTTTGCTCATTATGCTGAAATCAAAATCAAATGGGTGTTTGGGGACGAGAATGATTTGCTACATAGCAAATTTTAATCGATTGCCTAGAAAATTGAATTTTCATGTTGACTGAGGAAAAAATTTGAATTTTCATGTTCACCGAGGAAAAGAAACAAAAACTATCGCGTCTAAAAATCGGACCGAAAATTATCCGTGCAATATATCAAAGCATTTTTTCTATTCGCATTAAAGATGGCAATTCAATTGTCAGAGCTGAAACGGGATAATTTTATTTGCTTACTAACCTTCTGATCGAAAATACTTTCTCTAAATTATTTTCGACCTCATCATGATGCGATGCTGATCTCAATGAGTTTTTGCCTTGCTCTCGATGTAAAAATCATTTATATTGACCTTCTGCTCAACTTAACTGAAATTTTGCGCTCCTGCTATTTCAAGAATCTTAGAAAAAGGCTTAATTGTGACTTAAGTAAAAATTTTAGAATTATTCTTAATTTCGTCCTTATCTTCCACTCCTCGCTCCCTCCCTCCCGCCGACGCCGCAAACATCCCATTTTCATAAAACTATGTCTCAATGAGCTATCAAGGTATAGAGCACTGTTAAATTTTAGGTGGCCTATAATCTTCGTTTTACTTGGAATATTGGAAAACAATGCATAGTTTATGCTGAATCAATTTGGCTGTGATTTGCTGATTATTTATGAAGAATTGTACTTAATTAAAAACTATTTGCAGCTGAAAACCACTTTGAATATAGTTTGTGAAGTAAATTCGAAGAAGGGATCTCACAATTGCTTTTTTTACATGAAGTCTTAAACCTGGACCTTGCCATTCTAATCTCATCCTACGATGAGCATTCCCTATCTTGATATTAAAACGCTCACGGAGAGCAAAGTTTATAAAGATTTCATGTGCATTGATGCTTATTTACTTTTGATCTGGGAAAATGAAACGCTCTGAGCGGGAAGAGAATGAACTCGCGCAGCTTCAGGTCTATCTAAGTGATCCTAATTCAGTAATGTTTAAGCTCCTCGTGTACCTTCACTTTTAGCGTCTTGATCATGCAACTCCTTTCTTCCGCATCCGAATACTTACTATTGAACAGGGCGCGTTGTCCGGAGACGATTAAACGAGTTTACTCGAGTTTAGGGACAATATCAGATCACCTATTATACCTGATACATTTGGGGGTAAATTCATCAACAAATTGCAACAGATGATGGATAAATTGTAAATATTGCGAAATCAGATGTCCATTTTACTTGAAATTTAGTCCATTTTGTCTGTGGATCACGAGAAATTTGTCATGAAGGCTAAGCTTACACTTTCTTGCTCGTCTAAGAAATATTTAATCAAGTCATAAGCTAAACCACGTTTAGAAACAACTGCGATTTTCTGTGTTAAGTCAAAGCAGTGTGTGAATTCGTGTGTTCATATCACGTTATTGAGGATAAAATGAACCGGTTCTAAACAAAGAAAGACGCAATTCAACCAATCAGAATTCGATAGCTTAATTCATGCAATGAACGCAGAGTTTACTAAGCACAAGCCGCATTTAAGTAGTCACAGTGACATTTGCATATTGTCACCAGTTCATACATTTTTGATGTCTGAACTAAAATCGAACAATTCAGAAATTGCACTCATAATCAAATCAAAAAGCAATAAAATAGGGAAAAAACACATAAAATTTTTCTTTTTGTCTGCAATTTTTCGACTGATTTAACCTCTATGTTGCATGTTTCGAAATAAAGGCTGCAAGTGAATGGGTTTGGTGCTACGTGGAGAGAGCCCTTGCTTTTACGACAAACCAAAAACGCAAGAAAACAATTGCAAACATTTTTCCAATGAGTCCAAGGTGCATAAAATTTTCAACGGGAAATCAAGTATTCAAGGAACCCAGCAATATCACACGTGTACCGTGACGTGAAGTGATATTTGACCAAAATCAATTGTGAACAAGACTGCTCGTATCAGGCCGAAGCCCTGAATGTTCCGACTGCCTTTTAAGATCTATAGCAGTAAAAACATGAAAAAAAAAATGCAATGAAAATAAATTGATCTCGAAAAAATTGAAATTTTTGTGAAAATCATCCCCCCACACACCATATAAAGTACAAAGTGATGAATTTCCCTCCTTGTAACTAATCATTTATGGCAAATAAGCTTCTTTCAACAATTTTGGAACGATTTCTGAGAGGGATTAAATCTCCGCTTACGCATTGATAGCGCGAAATATATCGCGCGCTAATTGTCCCAAATCGGCCAAAGTGGCAATCATTAAACCCCCATCATAACTCTACAAAAAATAATCACAGGTGAAATGTCTTTTCAAATTTAAGATCAGGACAACAATACCTTTTGAATGATATAAAAAATTTGGTCAAAAATTGCCAGTTAAAAAGTCGAAATTTGTCTGAGGAGAAAAAACCACCACGAGCACATATATTCCGTACTTTCGTTACGAAAGTCGGAACAAGAAGAAGTAGGGAGCTCCGCATCACACTGAAATAAATAGGTCTTTCCCATAATATTCCCCAACCCGCATGCCTAGTTACAAGAAATGGTGCGACTACGATAGAGTGGTCCGTCGAAAAGCAACTATGATAGACAGGTCTCCCGCATGCATTTCGCATGTTATAATTTTGAAAATTAATTTGTGTATCAATTAATTATTTCAAAAATCGTGCAAATATGTTCAGCCAGAAACTTTTCAGATTGAAAATTGTAATTAATTCATTGCTTATATCAAATAAATTGCCCGCTTCTGTTTATTTTACAGTTCAACAAATATTATTGGGTTATCTTATTGTTCCGACTTTCGAAGAAAACAGAATATCTATGCTCGGTTTTTTTTTAATCAGTCAATTTTCGCCGATCGAAATAATAGTTTTCAACAAAAGTTTTCTATACCCCGTTGAATGTATCGATTTCCTGAGTTCAAATTTAGAAAAATGTTTTTCCTCCGATCATTTTTTGTGCGTTTTGAAGAATTTTTTCATAATGCTGGGAGCGTAACGCGAATTAATTATGCATGGCGAATTATCCCGCACAATAAAATCGTTCCAAATTGAATTGTGGCTAGCTAATTGGTCGTATTAATTTCGTACGACTCAAAATTTCACGCTTTGATATTGTCCAAAATTTTTAGGTTTTCAATATTTTCTTTTCCCAAAAACTATTCGATATGGATTAAGGGCTAGTCGGCTTATTCAGACTTTTGCTCCGATATACGAGCAGTCTTGTTTGTCATCAAAACTCAATTTTAGCAGTTTTTTTTTTAAATTTTCTTCCTTGTGAGGGGTGAAATTTTACGAAGTAAGAAAACATAATGCTTGTTTGAAAATATACTGCGACATATTTCTGAATGACGGAATCATAATTATTAAAGGATTTGAGAGCTCTAGGTGTCTTATTCTCAAGGGACCTGGATATTGTCAAGGGACCACTCTATCATAGTAGTACCCAAGAAATATAGCCACGGCCACATTTTGATTTTTATATGAGCGACAAGGGCAAAACCAGACAAAACTTGATGAGAAACTGATCTCCCAAAGTCCATTTCAGGTTTCAGGTACCGGTATTTCCTGCGTGTTTTTCTGACTCATTTTCCCTTCCCTAATCTAACTCTTTTCAACTTTTTCAACTTTTTTTCCTTCAACTTTATTTGCAAAATTGGTTTTTTCTGAACATTAAGTGTTATTGGCACACCAACCGGCTTTATTTGGTTCATTATGAAATAATTGCACGCTATGGGTCGTATTTTTTTCTTACCACCTTTAAAGAAAATAAAATTTTCAAACAACTTTAAATCTGCGCCAGAATTCTTGACTAACGGAAAAAAGTCTATCACTAAGATTTAAAAAAAAAAGACTTTGTTAAGTAAAAAGAAGCTTTTGAAGATAGACCAGATAATTCAGGCTCACATGGTCAATTACATGTGATCAAAGAAATTTAAACGCATCATACGCTTTGAATTGAGTAGCAAAATTTGCTTAAGGTTACTACTTCCCAGATTCATGATGCCGAAAATAATGTATTGATAAAAAAATCGGAAGTTTTCAGTTTATGATTACAACATTTTTTTTTCGAGACCATCTTGCTCAACGTGGTCGACTTTGAGTGACTTCCTCCAAGCTTAAACTTAAAATAAGAGTGAGAATTACTCATCTCAAGGTTTTTTAAAAATTTATCCGTAACTACCGTTTAGATTAGATGGGCGAGCTTGAAATGTTTTTTTTTTTCAAGTGTTGAAATGCTGAAATGGCACGTCTCGTGACTTCTGAAAATCCTTTCGGTTTAACTGTCTCAAATTCCTTCAATATACACGCATTAAAATCTACAAAAGAAAAAAAATTTAGTTTTAAGGTTTTAAGACACAGATCCAAAAATAAATTTTTGTTATCTATCTTGCTACATTTCGAAAATTTAATCCAAACTTCGTTTGAGAGCGCCCGATGTTTAAAGCCGACGGCTCCTTCAATATTTGAGGTGATTTTTTTAAAGAAAAGATGTGACGGTCACTAACCTATTTACTAAGACAGTGTTAGATCATCAAAAATTACTTTTGCATACTTGATTTGGAATCAAGTCTAGTTAAGTCAGTCTTCTTACGCCGTAGCCCATTTGTCCTCTTCTTTTCCCGAGTCAAAGCTTTCCATTTTCCACGAACTATTAACTTGACTTTTATTCATTACTTCATTTATTGATCACGTGCATTTTTACGTACTTAGGCGACCCTTTGCGTATGCTCTCTAAAAATTGCTTTTCCCCCTCAATATCAGGCAAACATCAATTTTAAAGTCCCATCCTTTTCACTCAGTAATAAAAGAAATAGTTGTGGGGTTACCATATTATTTTTCACCGCTTATGTCCTAGGAGGGAAGATTATTTAAGGATGTCTTCGCTCGTCCCTACCGTTAATCAGCAACTTCTTGCATTAAATAGTTGGCTCTTTCCAATTGATGAAATTTAAAAACTATAATGGGTTAATTTGTATCTCTTTTTATTTTTATGGGGCGTGAAGTATAGGAGGGTCGGAAATTTTTAGATAAACTTATGATTTTCTGGGTCAAAAAACGCTCAATAATTTATTTGCCTCCTTTTTCCGTCCCCGCCCCCAAACAAGCATCAATTTTATGGCAACGAGAGGTTTTACAAGGTTAAGTATGAAAACCAAATGTTTGTCATGGCCTAATTAGTCTGCCTGCAACTTTTTATAACAACTTGACTATCAGCAAAAAATTTCGCTGATGATGGAAAGGAAGAGCCCAGCCCTATTTTGCAAACATTTTGGGCGCCTCAGGCAAGTTTTCAGGAAAAAAAACTGGGCAAAAAGACCGCTTTTAGGCATATTGCTGAAGGTTTTGGCTTGAAAGTTTTAACGCGCTCCCAGAATTTTTTATTGGCGCCAAATATGCCTTTGAAAAAATTCTGATGTATCTCGGCTGAAAGCCGATGCCCGTGAAGGACTCCTAGTAAACGCCCCCCCCCCCCTTACCCAAAAAAACTCCGTTGTGTTGTATACTTATCGGGCACAGGTCATTTAAAAATTTTTTACATAATTAGTATATTATTACAGGCATTTTGGTGCAATTTACGGTTTGAAATGGATGTTTTTGCTCATTATGCTGAAATCAAAATCAAATGGGTGTTTGGGGACGAGAATGATTTGCTACATAGCAAATTTTAATCGAATGCCTAGAAAATTGAATTTTCATGTTCATTGATCTCGAAAAAATTGAGATTTTTGTGAAAATCATTCCCCCACACACCATATAAAGTACAAAGTGATGAATTTCCCTCCTTGTAACTAATCATTTATGGCAAATAAGCTTCTTTCAACAATTTTGGAACGATTTCTGAGAGGGATTAAATCTCCGCTTACGCATTGATAGCGCGAAATATATCGCGCGCTAATTGTCCCAAATCGGCCAAAGTGGCAATCATTAAACCCCCATCATAACTCTACAAAAAATAATCACAGGTGAAATGTCTTTTCAAATTTAAGATCAGGACAACAATACCTTTTGAATGATATAAAAAATTTGGTCAAAAATTGCCAGTTAAAAAGTCGAAATTTGTCTGAGGAGAAAAAACCACCACGAGCACATATATTCCGTACTTTCGTTACGAAAGTCGGAACAAGAAGAAGTAGGGAGCTCCGCATCACACTGAAATAAATAGGTCTTTCCCATAATATTCCCCAACCCGCATGCCTAGTTACAAGAAATGGTGCGACTACGATAGAGTGGTCCGTCGAAAAGCAACTATGATAGACAGGTCTCCCGCATGCATTTCGCATGTTATAATTTTGAAAATTAATTTGTGTATCAATTAATTATTTCAAAAATCGTGCAAATATGTTCAGCCAGAAACTTTTCAGATTGAAAATTGTAATTAATTCATTGCTTATATCAAATAAATTGCCCGCTTCTGTTTATTTTACAGTTCAACAAATA